GATATAATAAATGTCCCTCATTAGCTCACTTTAAAAAGAAAAAAGAGATTATGCTGGGTGGCCTGGGTCTAATCAGGTGAGCTCTTCTTTCAAAAAGCCTAGGGATCAGAGACTGAAGTTAGAAAAATACTGCTGGCCTTGAAGAAGCAAAAACCCAGATTATGAGCTCTGCCTCTAGGAGCCATGAGCCTCAGTTATACAATTGCAAGGAAATGAATTGTGCCTACAACTTGACTGCTTGAAAGGGACCCTAATCCACAGATGAAACCTCAACTCTGACTGCAGGTTGTCAGATGCTAAGCAGAGAACCCAACCAAGTTTTGCTTGAACTCCTGACCCACAGAAACTATATCGTAAATGGATGTTAAGCTGCTAAACATGTAATTGGTTACATGTCATACAAAATATAAACCTGTATGCTAAAAAGGTACATTCTACTCTAAGGAAATAATACCTCAATAAAGGAGACTGAAAAAAAAAAATGTACAAGTAGAAATGGAAACCTCTATAGTGAGGTTACAAGTTGAAGAAATCACCCAGAAAATGGAGCCAAAAAAGACACTAGTGAAAAAAGACAGAAAGGATTTAAAATGTGAAATGCCCAGTCCATGAGGGTTAATGTCAAAATAAATTCAATTTCTGAAAAAAGAAAAAGAAATCATGAAACAACTCAAGAAAAATGTCAGAACACCAGAACCAAGTTTTCAGTTTTAAAGGTCTTAGCAAGTGCCCATCAGGACAAAAAACATAGGTAAACAAAAAGATCCTATATGTCTTCAAACAGTTAAATTAACAAGAATCAATAATAAAAATTGTTTCAGACTTAACAACAATCCTAGAAGCTAGAAAACAATGAAGGAATAAAGAAATGTTAAAGAAAAAATTTCAAGTATAGAATTCTCTAAATAGGAAAGCTATTGGATTAAGTATGACATTAGGAAAAGCTTTTCACATAGGCATCATCCCTCAAAATTTACCACTGATCCATATTTTCCCAACAATTCTGTAAGAGGATGTGCTTTACCGAAAAGGAATAAATCAAGAAAGAAAATTATATAGGGCATAAGAAATAAGGATTCCAATGCAAGGGAGAGTTGAGGGAATACCCAAGGTGACGGCTGAATGGTAAGCCAAAAGGACAGCACTCTGCTGGAGCAGAACAGAGCACTCAGGAGGGGCTTCTTCAGGAACACCAACTATGCCTGGTGCGGCTGAACATACCAAGAGGAGAGGTGAGTGCCTGGTGCACGGCTGAGGTGGGATTAGTTATAAGTATGCTGAAAGCATCTTTATTAACTCAAGAGAAAACAAAAGTCATATGGATAAAGAAATATTAGAATATATGGCAAGGATCAAATACAAATATAATTTAAAGTCATAATAATGTAAAACCTGAATAGTGCTCTAACCAGTATCACAGTTTGTTTTGGTGGAATGGGTAGTGAAAGTTAACGACTCACCTTCCAAGTGGGAAGTTACTAGATGATGCCTACACATGACCAAATCAGAAATAAATATGTCATTTCAAGATATGGAGGTAAATATCAAAATAATTAGGATCAAAAAAGTGGTTCGTCTTAGACAAAGGAAGACGACGAAGAAGGCAAAGGTCTTATTTTTCACTATGAGCTTTGTAGAAATCTGGCTCTTTAAATGACATGCATGAATAACTTTGAAAGACAAAGGCTTTATGGATCCTCACATTATCTTTTTCTACTCCCCCATACCACATAAGCACTTTGTACTTTCAGAAGGAGAAAGGGTTAATAAGGTTTATTACCTCTCAAAAAATTATTTCATTTAAGTTGCTTTTTGAAATAATTAGCTTTTTGAAATAATTTTTACCTTAAAAACTAACTCTTGCTTTAGTAACTTCGAATCATTAAGTATTTCTCAAAACAACAGCAAAATATTGATCAATTCGCTTTCTTCTTTGAAGTTGCTGAGCCCATGGAACAGAGCCGCAAGTTAGCAAGTGCTTTCCATTGCTTTCAAGCACCACTGGCTTCTCAGGTATCTGAGCACTTGTCTTTAAAAGGCCAAGGCAGAAAAAGATATCATAGTGTCACCACCACCAACTGGGAAGACCCTTGTCAAAATCACCTAAGTATCTCTCCTTTTATTCTTTTGAAAAAGCTGATTTTCCCCTGCCATCAAGGAAGGATCATGCTTTGGCTAAAAACGGCCCTCTAACCAGCTCTAACTCAGAGACTTTACTGCATTTGTTCTGAGTTAAAGGACCATGTCTCTCCTCACAAAATATAACATTAAAAACAAAATTAAGCAGAATCATGTTGTTAAAGAATTTTACATAAAAGCATAAATTATTTTCATTAAATGCATTGTCAGAACCAACTTGTCAATGACTCCTTGATTATATGAGAATACTGATGGCAGGAAAACTAGTGTTTTCCAATTGCAGAGAACAAGGACAATGCCATATTGTTTCTGAAAAGTTGATCTTTTACTTTTTATTCTTAGACTGTCCTTCTTACTTTTTTATTGTTAAAATGTAATTTCTGGCACATGACACAGAAAACTGTTTTTAAGTATCCACCTAAACTTAAAACCAGATGTATAACCAGATATTCCTCTTCTAGGTATATGTCCAGCTACAGTAAGTACTGTGTGCATGTCCATCAAAAGACATGTATGAAAACGTTCATGGCAAAATAAGAAATTTTTTTTTTTTTTTTTAATAAAGTTCTGCCGGGCATAGTAGCTCACGCCTGTAATCCCAGCACTTTGGGAGGCCAAGGCAGGTGGCACTGGTCAGGAGTTCAAGACCAGCCTGGCCAAGATGGTGAAACCCTGTTTCTACTTAAAAACAAACAAACAAACAAAACAAAAAAACTAGCCAGGCATGGTGGTGGGTACCTGTAATCCTAGCTACTTGGAGGCTGAGGCAGAGAACTGCTTGAACCCAGGAGGTAGAGGTGGCAGTCAGCCAAGATCACACCACTTCAGTCCAGCCTGGGTAACAGAGTGAGACTCTGTCTCAAAAGAAAAAAAAAGAAAGTTCATAGCATCTTGAATTATAACGTTCATAAACTGCAAACTACCCAAATAGCTATTAGTCCTATAATGAGATTGTAATATATTCATGTAATGGAAAAGAAGACAATAATGAAAAAAGAATGAACAATAAACAGAGAAAAAAATCCAACAACATGAATGAATCACACAGATACACTATTGAGCAAAGAAGGCTGACTCAAGAATACCTCCTATGTGATTTCTTTTATATGATGTTCAAAAAACAGGCACAACTAATGAAAAGTGACCACAGTTAGAGTATCAGCAGGCAATGGGGTCTGACTGGGAGGAGACAGGGAGAAGCCTTCTAGAGTAATAAAATTATTCTATATCTTGATATGGGTGGTGGTTACATGGGTGTGAATATTTGAAAAAAATCAAATTTTCTATTTAGATATACATTTGGCTATTCAGATATACATTTCACCATATATAAATTATACCTAAACAAATTTAAGAAAATTATGAGACAATGGGAAAATTCTTCAAACACTGTAATTTATTTTATGAAACGCCAGTGACACCAGGTAACAGGAACAGTTATTTTAATATCTGTATTTGCAAAATAACAAGTTGCAACTCTGTATTAGTATCCCAAATAATTTTTTCCCAACTTTGTATTTTTAAAATGTATAAACTGAAACCTACACAAAATTGAAACACTAGTACAATTAACAACCATATGTCCTTCATCTAGATTCACCAATTGTTAACAGTTTGCTATAGTCACTTCCTCTCTCCCTCTCTCAGTTTTGGCTGAACTGCTTGAAAATAAGTTGCAGACATCATGACACTTCATCCTTAAAGGATATTCTTCTACAGAACCAAAGTATCATTGGTTATGACTGGTTATCATTGTATCATTGGTTATCAATGTATCATTGTTAAATTGGTTAAACGAAGTTTATCATTGATATTATTTAGCATATGGTCCATGTTCAAATTTCCCCAATTGTTCCAGTAATAATCTTTACAGATTCCTCCCATCCCCCATCCAGAAAACTATCTCAGACTCATGCATTGCATTTGGTTGTCCTATTTCTTTTTCTTTTTTTCCTTTAAGAGAGAGTCCTGCTATGGGGGATGAGTACCCAGGATGGAATGCAATGGCATGATCTCAGCTAACTGCAACCTCCGCCTCACAGGTTCAAGCAATTCTCCTGCCTCAGCCTCCTGAGTATCTGGGATTATAGGCACCTGCCACCACATCTGGCAGACTTTTTTTTTTTTTTTTTTTTTTCATTTTTAGTAGAGATGGGGGTTTCACCATGTTGGCCAGGCTACTCTCAAACTCCTGACCTCAGGTAATCCACCCACCTTGGCCTCCTGGGATTACAGGTGTGACCCACCACATCTGGCACGGTTGTCCTATTTCTTGAGTCTTTTTCAGTCTGGTATACCATGTATCACATGGTATTAATATTTTTTAAATTTATTTTGGCTTCTCATGACATTAACAATTCTCACCCAATATAGGTCTTTTTTTTTTGAGACAGAGTCTTGTTCTGTTGCCCAGGCTGGAGTGCAGTGGCACAATCTAGGCTCACTGCAACCTCTGCCTCCAGGGTTCAAGCAATTCTCCTGCCTCAGCCTCTTGAGTAGCTGGGATAACAGGTATGTGCCACCACACCCAGCTAATTTTTGTATTTTTAGTAGAGATGGGTTTCCTCCATGTTGGTCAGGCTGGTCTTGAACTCCTGACCTCAGGTGATCTACCTGCCTCGGCCTCTCAAAGTATAAGCCACTGCTCCTGGCCCCAATATAGGTTTTCAATTTTCCTGGTACATGAAACCCAAAACTCTCCCAGTGATTTTTATTTACTTAGTGTCTTCTGCAACCTTTATCATAGCATTAGTACCCATATACCTTTATCCTGACAAGTCTGGATGAAGCTATTTATCAAATACAGACACAGGACAGCTCAATGTTTAAACAAAGCTTAAGATTATTCTGCTTTAACTCACCGCTGACTCTGAGCAGGCCATGGGGTCTGGTTTGGCGTGGGCACTGAATTCGTGGGACTCACTAGCATGGCACTATAGATATTGGAAGCAACCACAAGTATGCAGAGAAGAATGGGCCCAATGATTGCACCTTCCAGGCCTAGGTAGTATGCTCCACCGGCTACTGCCAAGCCTGTCAGGTAAGGATGGCCACCTCTGGAATAAAGAGCATACCAGTTAGTTCACAACCTTTAACACATAAAAACTGGAAGAAATCTGAAATACATTTCTAATACAATGTTCATTCTTTAATACACTATGTTTTTTAGTATATTATCAGCTTTCTTTAGATCTTTCTTTAGATCACCATGATGCATATAATTGAACATTACAATGATATTGAAACGCAGTAATTTTTTTTCCTATGGGTGACTAGTACCTCTGTTTGTAGCTCCAGGAATGAAAGAATAAAGTCAGCAATGTTAACAGCTATCTTATACCCATTACAGGTGCCTGCCTATAGTGGGTTAATGTTGGCTTAGGACTGGTTAGGAGTCACCTGTTAAGTTTACCTCCATCAAAGATAATTAAGTGAGCACAATTTAGCATGTAATTCAGTTAATTATGCCTTTTTTTTTTTTTTTTTTTTTTTTGAGACGGAGTTTCGCTCTTGTTACCCAGGCTGGAGTGCAATGGCGCCATCTCGGCTCACCGCAACCTCTGCCTCCTGGGTTCAGGCAATTCTCCTGCCTCAGCCTCCTGAGTAGCTGGGATTATAGGCACGCGCCACCATGCCCAGCTAGTTTTTTGTATTTTTAGTCGAGACAGGGTTTCACCATGTTGACCAGGATGGTCTCGATCTCTCGACCTCGTGATCCACCCGCCTTGGCCTCCCAAAGTGCTGGGATTACAGGCTTGAGCCACCCCGCCCGGCCTAATTATGCTTTTATAAGACAACAACAGTAGCATCCCTGTTACTCATAGGTCAGGCTTTAGCAACCTCCTAAAATACCATTTTTAACCCAGGTAATGATAAAAGGCCTCCTGAGGAAAATCTCTGTCACAAAGCCCAAGATTTCTATTTCACAGGAGAATCAAAAATGCCCTCCAGCTTATTACAGTATCGCTTACGTAAGTGGAATGAAATAAAATAGAACACAGCAGCATAGCACACTGATAATGAAAAGAAAGGACCACTGACATCAGAAGGACAGAGAAATAAATCACATCCTGTTTGTTTCTAGTTTTAAACATGAGATGAGAACAATTCAAGTGAGGGGCAAATAACTAAATATCCTGGAAAGATGTTCTATATTACAGTTAAAACAAAGTAAGACTTGTGGAGAACCAGTCTTCAAGGAACCAATATGCTATATTGACAATGTGTTTGTCTTTCTCATTCCAAAAAAATGATTAGGGCAGTATTCCATGTTTTCTAAGTAAACTTCTTCCCTAAACATCACATTCAAGGAAATTATCAAAAATGCTTAAAGCTTTTTTTTCACTCCGTCACCCAGGCTGGAGTGCAGTGCTGCAATCATGGCTTACTACAGTCTCGACCTTCTGGGCTCAAGTGACCTTCCTATGTCACCCTCCTGAGTAGTTGACAGGCATGTGCCACCACACCCACGTTAATTTTCGTATTTTTGTGGAGATGGGGTTCCACCATGTTTCCCAGGCTGGTATTGAGCTCCTGGGCTCAAGTGATCCAACTGCCTTGGCCTCTCAAAGTGGTAGGATTACAGGCTTGAGCCACCATGCTCAGCTTTAAAGCTTTAAAAAAAAACAACAACACATGAGCGAGTTTATGAATAAAAGTGTACCCTATTAAAAACTAAAACAATTTATGCCAAACCTTTCATTTTCCAATGACAATGTTTAAAGACAGTATTTTAGGTCAGGCACGGTGGCTCATGCCTGTAATCCCAGCACTTTGGGAGGCCGAGGCAGGCAGCTGGGGTCAGGAGTTCAAGAGCAGCCTGGCAAACATGGTGAAACCCGGTCTCTACTAAAAATACAGAAATTATCTGGGTGTGGTGGCACACCCCTGTAAACCCAGCTACTCAGGAAGCTGAGGCAGGAGAACGGCTTGAAGCTGGGAGGCGGAGGTTGCAGTGAGCCAAGATTGAGCCACTGTACTGCAGCCTGGGCAATAGAATGAGACTCCGTCTCCAAAAAAAAAAACCACAGTATTTTATTTTTAAGATAAAATCACATATAAATCTTTAATTCCAGCTATAAACCTTAATATAAAATTTATAGCAAATTTTAAATAAATAAAAGTACTTAAGTATAAATCATACTTATTCCTGCTCAAATATCAAGTGTTACAAACTAGTTAACCACACTATGATGTTCAGCTTTTTAATTTTCTCTCTCAAGTTTTATACATAAAAGTTCCCGTAAGTCTGGCTTATGGAGTTGCTTGTTTCTTTTTGCTCTGGAACTCTGGGGCTTCAGCATTGTTCAATATCAGTTATCATCTAACTTTCAGCCTAGATTTTCATAAGCAATGTGAATCTGAATACTTGACTAACTGAGAACTGGCTTGATTTACTTAATGCAATTTCTAAAAGAGACATCAAAACCTATAGAAACAGACATTTATTTATTGTATTATATGGCTAAAGTATTGATTCTGACTTAGATTTAACCTGTATTTACCATAAAACCATTCTAATTCTATCTTTAGAGAGCTCTGCTTGCCAGAAATTTACTTGCTGAGATTTGGTTTCACGTGGAAATCCTCAGACATACAATCTAACATTTTCTCCAAAACCAAAGAAGTAATAAAAATAATGATTAACTCTTCATTGTACTTGAAATATTTGATGTATATTGGATCATAATTCTTTTCTAGGTTAAATGTCACTATATCAAGAGAAAATTATTCACAATTTGATTTTAACTCAGGACATCATATATTAATATTATAAATAAATATGTAAATAAGAAAATTGGCTGGGCATGGTGGTTCATTCCTGTAATCCTAGTGCCTTCGTAAGTTCAAGGCAGGAGGACTGCTTGAGCCCAGGAGTTCAAGGTTGCAGTGAGACATGACTGCACCTGCATTCAAGTCTGGGTGACAGAGATATTGACTCAAAAAAACCAAAGAAAAAAAGCTGCTCTGGAACTTTGGAGCAACACCAACCAAAAAAAAAAAAAAAAAAAAACAAAAAAAAAAACACCGAAAATATCATGCCTTGTCAACAATATTATTTTAAATTAAAATTTCATTAAATCAGTGGGAACACAAAAGATTATTTCACTGAAAACTCCTACTACCAGTTCTTTTGTACAACCCAAGGGGAAAAAATCCTGCTTTAAAAAAAACAACAAAAACCAGAAATGCCTAAATGATTCACTAACAACTTAAGAAATTCTGTGGCTTACATACCCTGATATGTCAGAGTAAATTGCAGTATCTACAAAGTATGTTGGCAAGAGATGAAAAATCAACAGTAAAATGGCCTTGCATCCTAATCCTTGTGTCAGCCACAGGTCTAGAACTGCAGGTACTGCTGCCCAATATGTCCCCAGGAACGGCACCGCTCCAAGGATTGCTGCTAATGCTGAAAAAAGAGTAAAAGAAAAGCAACTTAACATCATCAGCAAAACACCAACAAGCAACAGAACCTAAGCAGTGGCTCCTCCTCCTTAACAATTTCCAACAGAACAAGTTAAATACTCACAAATCAAATACTAGGGAAATGATATACCCTATCTAACTGAATTTTCTAGCTAAATAAAGGCTCAATATCTTAAAACGTGATACTAAAAAACTTTCTAAGTATGTGCTTTATTTATGGATCTATTCTTAAGCAATAAAATTTCAGGGTTCTGCAGTTGTTACTCTCAATCAGTAGTTAATATACAGTCCTATAAATACAGCTACAGAACATGTATCAAAACTTGCATTGATTGCAAAGCCCAATCAGAAATTAGTTTCTAAACCTCAGCATATTCTTTACTTTGCTTCTTTCTAATAAAAATAAACAGAAAAAAAATCCTGAGCTGAAAGACCCTGCTTCAAGGTCATTCCCTTCCAGAGCAGTATGTTCAAGCAATCTTCCTCCATCTGGCTTCTCTCCAGGTTAAGAGTAAAGCAGATGTAGCATCTAGTTCTGGTCCTACCAGAAGCCAGGTACACGACCTTGGAAAACTGGTCTCTCATCTATACGGTAAGACTACCACCTACTCTGCCCGCCTCAAAGGGTGCTGGCATGCCAGAGGGTAGGTTAGTAAAGATCACAGTAGGGAAGAACGTTAATGAACTTGAAAATGTAGAAGGAAGGAAGCACAGACAAATGGGAGAAGGGCAGCTGGTGGTAGAGGCAAATGTGAAAGGCAGAGATATTTAGGAAAACAAGCAGCGCTAGAAATAAAGGAAGAAAAAGTGGAAGAAGCATCATAACAGATCTTAAGAGGTATGGAGACAGCTTATGTGCCCTCAAAAGCAATCATCTTGCCCTGGGATATTATCCCTCATGGACAAAGCTATTTGGCAACGCATTGCTCCCTGCCAATCAGTTCATTCAAACATTATTTAAAGCCAATTATGTGCTAGGTGTTATGCTAAGTGCTAGAACATTTGTTCATTTAACAAATATATATATTTTTAATTTTAAATTTTTTTTATTTTTTAAAAAGACGGGGTTTCACCATGTTGGTTAGGCTGGTCTTGAACTCCCAACCTCAGGTGATCTGCCTGCCTTGGCCTCCAAAGTGTGTGGATTACAGGCGTGAGCCACCACACCTGGCTCATTTAACAAATATTTCAGGCAACTGGTATGGTTTGGATCTGGGTCCCTACCAAAATCTCATGTCAAATTGTAATCCCCAGTGTCACAGGTGGAACCTGATGGGAGATGATTGGATCACAGGGGCGGATTTCAACCCTGGGTGGTGTTCTCATGATAGTGAGTTATCATGAGATCTGGTTGTTTAAAACTGTGTATTCACCTCTCCCCTCTTTCTCCTGCTCTAGTCATGTAAGACATGCCTGCTTCCCTTTCACCTTCCACCGTGATTATAAGTTTCCTGAGGCCTCCCCAAAAGCAGAAGCCACTATGCTTCCTGTACAGCCTGCAGAACAGTGAGCCAATTAAACCTCTTTTCTTTATAAATTACCCAATCTCAAGTATTTCTTTATAACAATGAGAGAACAGACTAATATAGCAATGTTTTCTATGTGCTGGGTATGGTTCCAGCTGCTGGGGATGCAGCAATAAACAAACACATTACAAATCATATTCTGCTCCTAATATGGACTAGACTGGATTCAAGCCACAAAATTTAGTTTTTTACACTTGAGGAAGTAAACATTTCCTAAATGGCAAAATGGCTTAACTTTCCTTAAATAGAGAACACTGGAAGATATAACATGGTTGTTACCTGACGGTATGAAGACAATATTGATGCCAAATATAGTATGAGTCAGCCAGGTGTACAATCCATAGAAGCCAGCCATTTTGAGGGAAGCATCAAACACCCCTCTGGAATGCCCAAAGATAAAAGCAAAGAGTAAATAAACACAGTATCATATTGTGATTTAGAAAAATCACATGGCCACTTGATTCCAAATCTAGTAACAGCTTTAGTTTTCTACTGAACTGAGAATGCTGTTCTCATTTTATTTCAAAAAAACATAAAGACCTTACTTTAAATATACTTATTCTTTATATAATATGAAATGTTTTATTTTGAAATGTTTACTAAGCTATTCTTTACATTTCTGATGAAAAAAATAACTGAACTGAAATACCTTAAAATACCATATTCACTGAAATAATTCATCAACTTTTCACTTTGTGAAGTTATTTTCAGTTATTTCACCCCCAAAGCAAATGGAAAGAAAATTAAGTGTGAATAACATGTTTCCAAGGATACAGTTAAACTCTAAGAAACCCAGGCTGTGGCAAGCCCTCCCTTTTTGGAAACAGCCAATAAGGGATAGTGTAACTTGTATTTCACCAACCTTTCTTCTCTTTAGAAATGTTCCTACATTTCTTAAACTATGCAACTAGGCCTACAATGTAACATCTCTTAAAAATGCTATCAAAGAATGATCATTGGGGGAGAATTTATGGAAAAAAAATTACTAACTCCAAAGCCAAATCAGAGAAGAAAATACAAGAGAGAGAAAAACAGACACATATATTTGGTGACTAATAAAGGAATTCCGTACACGAAAATCTGCAATGTCAGGCGCTCTGTGTTTTTCAGTTGGAAGATTAGTAAGGCAGCACTAGTAAGGAGGAGAAATAAGAAACTCTTCAGGGAGCACACAAAGACGGCAATCCTTAAGTAATCTCAAGGCAGCACAAAATCATAAAAACCTGGACTCTGTGGGGCGGTGCAGAAGGGTGCAGGGAAAGCACCCTCATATGTTCACTACATAGGAAGGAAAAGCTGTAGCTGAAAAAGAAGAGACTTCAGCGGCAATGGTGACCTTGTACATGCAAAAGGAAACACCAAGCTTTTCTAAAGCATCCCAAAAGGTATACTGTTAAGAGCAAAGCCAAACGCTGTAATCTAGTGATTCAGTCATTTAGCGGGGTTCTGGGACATGGATCCATGGACCCAATTCTAAAACCTGCTTTGTCATCCTGACCAGTAGCTTTCCCTAGACAATGTCTTAAAGGTGCCATGACTCTGCAACAAGAACCCAGAATAATGTAGGATCAAAAATACCCAAAGAAAGGGAAAGACCTGAAAGAAAATACAAAGGATCTGCTCAACAACTAAACAGAGAGGACAGAGAAAAAAGAAAATGACAGAGCTTCAGGTTTTAAACCTGAGGGAGAAAGAATGGCATTGTCTCAAAGAAATGGAGAAGGCCAGAATGGAAGCGGTATGAAAGAAAGGGGGAGTTTGTTTAGTTTGGGCAACAGGAACTCAAAAGGGAGGATGAAAATACCCTAGAAGTAGCTGAAATAAGAGACAAGGCTTAACAGAATTCAGAACAAGACATCTGAGACGCACTAGAATAATCATAGAAGAGAAAAAACATCTTAAAGGGGCAAGTGGAAAGAAAATAGGGCCACAGGTTGTGTTTTCATAAGGGACCTAAAGACAAAGAAAAACCAGCCAGAGAGGTACCGAAATCATTTTGGTAGTAGAAGGAAAATCACTAGAGTGCAGTATTCCCAGAGACCAAAGGTGAAGGTAGGTTTTGAGGGGGGAGGAAATAATGATATCAGTGACCACAGAGAAAAAGTAAGGAAAAAAGTATAAAATTTGCCTACAACTAGGGAGGTCAATGAGGAAAACATATGATGTGATTTTTAACCTTATGTTACTAAAAAATATTTAAGTCAAAAATAAGTTGGCATCAAAGGTGCAACAAAATATCACAACTCAATCACCCCTCTGAGTGGCAACCAAACAAGGCTAATCCAGTAAGGACCACATGTAGAAAACAGCACAGTCTTCTTCCACCGCTGAGGACATTGGTTGCTGGTAACGTTCTCAAGACAACTTTTAAATGCGCTATGTATTGCTTGCAGTTACCAAACATATTCATGTAACTCAGTAAGGGATGATGAAGACAATATATTCCCCTCTACCTCATTACTCATGATCTGGCACACAAGTTTTTATAAATAAAACAGCAGAGAAAAATCCTCTTACAATTTACAAGAAGACAGTATTTTTTAACTCCCTCAAATTCCTAGCAACTTCTTCTTGTATCAGCTTTATTAAACTATGATTGACAAGTAATAAAACTCACCAATTTAAGCGTTCAATTCAGTGATTTGGATAAACATCCAAGTTCCATAACCATCATTATAATCAAGATGTAAAACATTTGTATCACCCCAAAAAGTTCCTTCATCCCCCTCCTATAGGCAAATCCTCCCTAAACTCTGGCCTCTGATGGCCACTAGATATGCTGTCACTATAATTCTGCCTTTTCTAGAATTTCATTGAAACACAATCATAAATTATATAGCTTTGTATTAAACCGTGGTAAAATACCCATGGCACAATATTTACCATCTGAACCATTTTGAGTGTGCAGTACAGTAGTGTTGAGTACATTCACATTGTCATGTAGCCTTTGGTATTTCTTTCACCTGGCATAATGCTTTTGAGCTTCAACACACTGCTGAATGTGTTAGTTTGTTCCTTTTAATTGCTGAGTAGTATTCCATTATGTAGATCTACCACAATTTGTTTATCCATTCACCAGATGATATGCATTTGAGGTGTTTCCAGTTTGGGGGTATTAAAAATAATGCTGCTATGAACATTTGTGTACAAGTATTTGTAGATATATGCTTTCATTTCTCATCTGTAAATACCTAGGAGTGGACATACTGGGTCATATGATATCTATTTAGCATTATAACTAATACTAGCTTTAATCTCTCAATTCAGAAAAAATTAATAGTACATGGATACCAAACCAGAAGCCACTACCTCCTACATCACAGCACATCTCCTCAAAGTATGAGGTTAAACCTCACAGTATTATGTGAGTGGATACTGGCAGGAAGAGCAATTCAGCTCATGAAGAGCTAAATAATAATGCATCTGAAGCTCCCAGTAACTGACCTAGTACACAGTAGATGCTCAATAAACAGTGGCTATTAGCAGAAAATATGCTGTGTGTGCACAAGAAAATACTACTCAGCCACCAAAAAGAAGGAAATCCTGTCATTTGTGATAACATGGATGATTCTGGAGGACTTTCTGGTAAGTTATATAAGCCAGGCACAGCACAGATAGACAAATACTGCACGATCTCACTTGTAAGTAGAATGTACGAGTTGAACTCATAGAAGTAGAGAGTAGGATGGTGGTTGCCAGGGGCTAGAGAGATGGTCAAATGGTACAAAGTTTCAGTTAGGATGAGTAAGTTCTGGAGAGCTACTGTACAGCATAGTGACTATAGTTAATAATAATGCGGCCGGGCGCGGTGGCTCAAGCCTGTAATCCCAGCACTTTGGGAGGCCGAGGCGGGTGGATCACGAGGTCGAGAGATCGAGACCAACCTGGTCAACATGGTGAAACCCCGTCTCTACTAAAAATACAAAAAATTAGCCGGGCGTGGTGGTGCGTGCCTGTAATCCCAGCTGCTCAGGAGGCTGAGGCAGGAGAATTGCCTGAACCCAGGAGGCGGAGGTCGCGGTGAGCCGAGATGGCGCCATTGCACTCCAGCCTGGGTAACAAGAGCGAAACTCCGTCTCAAAAAAAAAAAAAAAAATGCATTGTATACTTGAAAACTGGTAAGATTACATCTTACATGTTGTCACAACAAAAATGGTATGTGAAGTAATGAATATATTAATTAGCTTGATTTAACCATTTCACAATGTAACATTACATTACAAACTATAAATATATAAAATTTTTATTTGTTGCCTAGCTGGTCATGGTAGCTCATACCTGTAACCCTAAACTGTGAGAGGACAAGGTGGGTGGATCGCTTGAGAGCAGGAGTTCACGACCAGCCTGGGCAACAGGTGAAACCCCATCTCTACTATAATTACAAAAACTTAGCCAGTCATAGGGTGTGCCATTAGTTATATGCCAGATGAAATTTTATTTGACTTTGGGAGTAAATTATTCCTAGCAATCTCTGAATTTTAGGTTCCAAAGAACCATGGAGATGAGTGATAATTATACGCCCAGTATTATAGGTTATTTAACTTTACAATTTTAAATAAACAAACTGAAACTTTCTGGCATGCTATTTGCATGTGCATAGCACATAACTGTACTTTGCATGTAGTGTGTTATGTTAGTTTCCTGTTGCAGCTGTAACAAATTACCAAAAACTCAACTAGCTTAAAACATACTTTTTATCTTGTAATTCAGTCCAGAAGTCCTAAAACCAAGATGTCACATTGTTTTTGGAGGATTTAAGAGAGAATCTGTTTTCTCTTCATTTTTAGTTTTCTTGGGGTCTGTTTGTTTCTTTTTTTAAGGCTAGCTAAGTAAAGCAATGAGAGTAGAGAGGGAATGAGCAATCTGTAACTGGCTGTGATCATTTAGTTGTGAACATGACCACACTTGGACAAGCCTTTTCCAGCTTTTAAAAGCTGTCTTCATTCCTTGGCTCATGGCCCCAACTTCCATCTTTCAGGCTAGTAGTGTGGCATCCTCCAATCTTCCTCCATCTCTGAGCTCTGCTTCTATCCACATGTCTCCTTTATTCTGACTCTCCTGCCTTTGTTTTCTAATAAGATGTTTTTATTGAAATGAAGCTCATATAGCATAAATTTCATCAGTTTTACGTATACAATTGAGTGGTTTTTAGTATACTCAAAATTTGTGCAATTATTACCATTAATTCTAGAACTTCCTCCCTCTTAAAAGGACTTTTTTAAAACTTGTTTTTCTTCTTTCATTAAAAATAAATAAATATAGAGTTGACAAATAATTTTTTTTTTTTTTTTTTTTTTTTGAGACTGGGTGTCAATCTGTCGTCCAGGCTGGAATGCAGTGTTGTAAGATCTTGACTCATTGCAACCTCTGTCTCCCAGGC